GCTAGATGAAGCAGAGGACTGAATCAGCAAGTTGAAAGGCAAGGTAGAAAAAACTCACAAATAGAGTAAGAGAAAGAAAAGAGACTCAGAAAGAAGAAACAGGTGGTAAGGGAACTACAAGACAACATGAAACATAATAATACCCATGTAATAGGGATACCAGAAAGACAAGAAGAGCAAGGGATAGAAAACCTGTTTGAAAAAGTAATGATAGTAAACTTCCTTACTTTGATGAGAGAAAAAGTCACACAAATCCAGGAAACACAGAGAGTCCTAATTAAGAGGGAACCAAAGAGACTCACTTGAAGACACATCATAATTAAAATGGCAAAATTCCAAAACAAAGAGAGAATCTTAGAAGAAGCAAGGGAGAAATAGGAAGTAACATACAAAGGAGCCCTGATAAGTCTATCAGCTGAATTCTCAATGAAAATGCTCCAAGCCACAAGAGAATGGCAAGAAATATTCCAAGTAATGAAAACCAGAGGCCTGCAACCAAGACTACTCTATCTAGCAAAGCTCTCAACTAAAATGGAAGGATAAATAAGGAGCTTGCCAGACAAAAGAAGTCTAAAACAATACACCTTTCCCAGCCAGCTCTGCAAGAGATGATAAAGGGACCTCTTTAAGAAAAAAAAGGAAGAGAGAGAGAGAGAGGATCACAGGTACAAATAATGGCAATGAATAAGTACATATCAATAATAACCTTAAATGTGACTGGATTAAATGCTCTAATCAAAAGACATAGAGTAGCTGAATGGATACAAAAGCATCACCCACACATATGCTACCTAGAAGAGACCCACCTCAAAACAAAAGACATATACAGACTGAAAGTGAAAGTTCATCAAGAAAGTGAAAACTGGAAACAAATATTCCAAGCAAACGGACAGAAAAAAAGAAGACAAGATACTTTCTCCCCCCCCCATATACTCATATCAGACAAAATAGACTTCAAAACAAGGGCTATAAAAAGAGACCCAGAATGTAACTTCGTAATACTCCAGGGAAGAATCAACCAAGAAGACATCAACATTGTAAATACATATGCACTCAACGTAGGGGCACCCAAATACATAAAGAAAATCATGGAGGACTTCAAGAAAGATATTGACAGCAACACAATGATAGTAGAGGATTTTAATACCCCACTGTCAAAAATGGACACATCTTTCAAACAAAATATCAACAAAGATGTTGTGGAATTGAACAAATGGACTGAACTGGTGTATATAGAGCCTTTCATCCCAAAGAAGCAAAATACACATTCTTTTCAAGTGCACTTGAAAAATTTTCAAAGACAGACCACAGCATAGGACACAAAACAAGCCTCAACAGAGTCAAGATAATTGAAATCATATGAAGCATTTTCTCTGACCACGAAGAGCTGAAACTAGAAACCAACCTCAAGGAAAAACACTCAAACTCACAGAGATTGAGTAGCATGCTATTAAACAATGAGTGGGTCAAGAATGGAAATCAAAAAGTTTCTGAAACAAATGAAAACGAACTCACAAGAATCCAAAACTTATGGGACACAGCAAAGGCAGTCTTATGAGGGAAGTTCGTAGCAATATAGGCTTACCTAAAAAACATAGAAACATTTCAAATAAACAGCCTAATTCTACACCTACAAGAACATGAGGGACAACAACAAAGACACCCCAGAGCAAGTAGAAGGGAGGAAATAACCAAGATCACAGCAGAATTAAACAACATAGAGACTAGAAGCCCAATTCTAAGGATCAATGAATCCAGGAGCTGGTTCTTGGAAAAGATGAACAAAATCAACAAGCCTTTAAGGAGGTTCATCAAGAAAAAAAGGAAGAGGACCCAAGTAAACACAATCAGAAATGAAAGAAGAGAGATTACAACTGATACCACAGAAATACAAAGGAATGTAAGAAATGACTATGAAGAACTATATGCCAAAAATTTGAAAACCTAGGTGAAATGGATGAATTTCTAGAAAAATATAATCTTCCAAAACTGAATGAAGAAGAAGCAGAAAGCCTGAACAGACCAATAACAGACCAATTATTGAAACAATAATTAATAGCTTCCAACACAGAAAAGCCCTGGACCAGTTGGTTTCATGGGAGAATTTTAAAAGCAGTTAAGGGAGAGCTATCCCACATCTTCCACAGAGTATTTCAGAAAATCAAAAAAGATGGCAGACTCCCAAACTCTTTATGAAGCCAACATCACCCCAATCCCAAAACCAGGTAACAAAGACAGAAAACTTCAGGCCAATATCACTGATGAACACAGATGCTAAAATCCTCAACAAAATACTGGCAAACCACATTCAACAATACATTTAAAAGATCATACACCATGATCAAGTGGGGTTCATCCCAGGGATGCAACGATAATACAATATTCACAAATCAATAAACATAATACACCACATAAACAAAACAAAAGACAAAAACACACGATCATATTAATAGATGCAGAAAAAGCATTTGATAAGGTACAGAACCCATTTATGAAAAAAACAGCAAAGTGGGAATAAAGGGGGCATTCCTCAACATAATAAAGGCCATGTATGAGAGACCTACAGCCAATATCATACTCAATGAACAAAAACTTACAGCTTTCCCACTAAGATCAGGAACAAGACAAGGATGCCCACTTTCACCATTTCTATTCAACATAGTACTGGAAGTCCTAGCCACAGCAATCAGACAAAAAAGAGAAATAAAAAGCATCCACATTGGAAGGGAGGAAGCAAAACTATTATCGTTTGCAGATGACATGATAGTGTACATAGAAAATCCCTATAAACTCCACCAAGAAACTGCTCAATGTAATAAATGAATTAGGCAAAACAGCAGGGTATAAAGTCAATATCCAGGAACCAAAGGAATTTTTGTATACCAACAGTGAAACAGCAGAAGCAGAAATCAAGAAAAAAAAATCCCATTTGGTATAGCAATGAGAAAAATAAAATACCTAGGAATAAACCTAACCAAGGATGTAAAAGACCCATACTCAGAAAACTACACAACACTGAAGAAAGAAATTAAGGAAGACACAAACAAATGGAAATATATACTGTGTTCATGGATCGGAAGAATTAGCGTCATCAAAATGTCCATACTACCCAAAGCAATTTGTAGATTCAATGAAATACCTATTAACATGCCAATGGCACACTTCACAGATATACAACAAACATTTCAGAAATTTATATGGACCCATAAACGACCTTCAATAGCTGCAGCAAGTTTGAGAAAGAAGAGCAAAGTAGGAGGAATCAGAATACCTGATATCAAACTGTATTACAAGGACACTGTAGTCAAAACAGCCTGGTACTGACATAAAAACAGACACATGGATCAATGGAACAGAATAGAGAGCCCAAATCTCTACAGTCAATTAATATTCTACAAAGGGGGAAGCAACATAAAATGGAGGAAAGACAGCCTCTTCAACAAATGGTGTTGGGAGAACTGGACAGTTACGTGCAAAAAAATGAGACTTGACCACCAACTTTCACCATACACCAAAATCAAGGTGGATAAAAGATTTAAATATAAGTCTTGACACCATTAAAGTTCTAGAGAAGAACATAGGCAGAAAAATCTCAGATATTCCACACAGCAATATTTTCACTGACATGTTCTCAAAGCAAAGGACATAAAGAAAAGAATAAACAAATGGCATCTCTTCAAAATAAAAAGCTTCTGTACAGCTGAAGAAAACAGCATTCCAATGAAAAGGGAACCAATTGTAGGAGAAAACATATTTGCCAATGATACCTCAGACAAGGGTCTGATCTCCAAAATATATAAAAAACTCACATGACTCCACTCCAGAAAGACAAAAAACCCAATTAAAAAATGAGCAAAGGACTTGAACAGACACTTCCCCAAGGAGGACATACAGAGGGTCCATAGACATATGGAAAGATGCTCAGTATCATTAGCCATCAGAGAGATGCAGATTAAAGCCACAATGAGATACCACTTCACACCAGCCAGAATGGCCATCATAAACAAAGCAACAAACAACAAATATTGGAAACAATGTGGAGAAATAGAACCTTAGTGCACTGTTGGTGAGATTGCAGGTTTGTGCAACCAGTGTGGAAAACAGTATGGAATTTTCTCAGAAAAGTAAAAGTGGACATGCCTTTTGACCCAGCAATTCCACTGCTGGGATTATACTCTAAGAGCCCTGAAACACCAGTCTGAAGGGACCTATGCACCACAATGTATATGGCAGCACAATTTACAATAGCCAAGTGCTGGAAGCAACCTAGATGCCCACCAGCAAATGAATGTATCAAAAAAACATGGTACATTTACACAATGGAATACTATGCAGCAGAGAGAAAGAAGGAGCTTATACCATTTGTGACAGCATGGATGGAACTGGAAAGCATTATATTAAGTAACGTAAGCCACATTCTCCCCCTTTATTTTATGTCCATGAGTTGTACACATAAGTTCTTTGGCTTCTACATTTTCTATACTATTCTTATCTTCCCCCTGTCTATTTTCTACCTACTATCTATGCTACTTATTCTCTGTACCTTTTCCCCTCTCTCCCCCTCCCACTCCCCTGTTGATAACTTTCCATGTGATCTCCATTTCTGTGGGTCTGTTCATGTTCTAGTTGTTTGCTTAGTTTGCTTTTGTTTTAGGTGTGGTTGTTAATAACAGAGTTTGCTGTCATTTTACTGTTCATATTTTTATCTTCTTTTCTTAGATAAATTCCTTGGACATTTCATATAATAAGGGCTTGGCGATGATGAACTCCTTGAACTTGACCTTATCTGAGAAGCACTTTATCTGCCCTTTCATTCTAAATTAAATCTTTGCTGGATAGAGGGATCTTGGATGTAGGTCCTTGCCTTTTATGATTTGGAATACTTCTTTCCAGCCCCTTCTTGCTTGTAAGGTCTCTTTTTAAGAAGACCTTAAATCAGTTAGTAGTCTTATGGGAACTTCTTTGTAGGTAACTCTTTTGTTTTCTCTTGATGCTTCTAGGAACATCTCCTTAATTTTAACCTTGGGCGGACTCTGACCAAGATGGAGGCATAGCTAGACACACTGTGCCTCCACAAACAACCAAAATTAAGGACAACAAAAATATATAGAAACAAACAAACAAACAAAAAACAACTAGAACTGAGAGAAAATTGAACTGTATGGAAGTCCGACAACCATTCATCCAGACCAGTAAGAGGGGTTGAGTCAGCGGCCGGCAGAGAGGGGTTGCAGCAGAAAAAAGTGGTGGCTGGTGGACCCAGGTGCGCAGGTGGCAACTGTCATACCCAAGGCGTGGGGAGGCAATGAGCAGACCCAGTGTGGCACTCAAGGTGGCTGGCTGACTGTGGTCCCACATTCGTGCACAGATAACCAGGTGAAAACAGGCATCAAGACAGACCATGCAACCCAGGGCCTCTGCGCTGGAAAATAAAGCCTAAAAGCACCGATTGAAAACACTTTGGGGGTTGAGGTGTCTGGAGAGACTCCCAGACTCACAGGAGAGTTCATTGGAGAGACCCACAGGGTCCTAGAATGTACGCAAACTCACCCACATGGGAATCAGCACCAGAAGGGCCCAATTTGCTTGTGGGAAGCAGCAGAGGGGAATGAAATCTGAGAGAGAGTGGAGCAAGTGCTATTGTTCCCTCTCTGAGCCTGCCCCCACATACAGCATCACAACCCAGCAATGTGGGTTGGTCTGCCTTGGTGAACACCTAAGGCCCCACCCCTCACTGCATAACAGGTGCGACCAGACCAAAAAAAAATTTTAAAGTCTCAAATGGAAGAACTGATTGAAGCCCCAAAACCAATACTTTTAAGAGACGAAGGGATAGCCAACCTATCAGATGCACAGTCCAAAGCACTAGTGATCAGGATGCTCACAGAATTGATATTTTTGTCACAAATTAGATGAAAAAATGAAGGCTATAGTAAGTGAAATGAAGGAAAATGCACAGGGAACAAATAGTAATGGGAAGGAAACTGAGACTCAAAGCAATTGGAGTGGGCCAGAAGGAAGAAAGAAACAACCAAACAGAAAAGAATGAAGTAACAAGAATTCAAAAAAATGAGGAGAGGCTAAGGAACCTCCAGGACATCTTTAAACGTTCCAACATTTGAATTATAGGGGTACCAGAAGAAGAAGAGGAAGAACAACAAGTGGAAAGCTTATTTGAACAAATAATGAAGGAGAACTTCCCTAATCTAGCAAAGGAAATAGACTGCTAGGAAGTCCAGGAAGCTCAGAGAGTCCTGAACAAGTTGGACCAAAGGAAGAACACACCAAGGTTCATCATAAGTACATTACCCAAGATTAAAATGAAGGAGACAATTCTAGAAGAAACAAGAGATAAGGGGACAATCACCTACAAAGGAGTTCCCATCAGACTGTCAGCTGATTTCTCCAAAGAGACCTTTCAGGCAAGAAGGGGCTGAAAAGAAGTATTCCAAGTCATGAAATCCAAAGACCTACATCCAAGATTGCTCTATCCAGCAAAGCTTGCATTTAAAATGGAAGGGCAGATAAAGTGCTTCTCAGATAAGGTCAAGTTCAAGGAGTTTATCATCACCAAGCCCTTACTATATGAAATGTTAAAGGGACTTATCTAAGGAAAAGAAGATAAAAAACATGAACAGTAAAAAGACAGCAAACTCCATTATTAACAACCACACTTAAAACAAAAGCAAACTAAGCAAACAACTAGAACATGAACAGAACCACAGAAAGGAAATCACATGGAGGGTTAGCAACAGGGGAGTGGGAGGATGGGAGATGGGGAAAAGGTACCGAGAATAAGTAGCATAGATGGTAGGTAGAAAATAGATGGGGAAGGCAAAAATAGTATGGGAAATGTGAAAGCTAATGAACTTAAGACACATGGACATGAACTAAAGTGGGGAATGTGCATGGGAAGGGGTGTTCAGGGTAAAGAAAAATGAAGGGGGGACATGGGACAACTGTAATAACACAATCAATAAAATATATTTAAAACAAAAACTTAATGTTGGGTAATGTAATTATGATGTGCCTTCGTCTGTTTTTTCTTGGGTCCAACTTCTTCAGGACTCTGTGAGCTTCCTGGATTTCCAGGAAGTCTATTTCCTTTGCCAGATTGGGGAAGTTCTGCTTTATTATTTGTTCAAATATCTTTGCCACTTGTTGCTCTTCCTCTTCCCCATCTGGTACTTCTATAATTTAGATGTTGGAATGTTTAAGATGTCCTGGACATCTCTCCTAATCCTCTCCTCATTTTTTTGAAATTTTGTTTCTTCATTTTTTTTTCCTGGTTGGATATTTCTCTCTTCCTTCTGGTCCACACTGTTGATTTGAGTCCTAGTTTCCTTCCCATCACTATTGGTTCCCTGTACATTTTCCTTTATTTCACTTAGCATAGCCTTCATTTTTTCATCTAATATGCAACCATACTCAACCAATTCTGTGAGCATCCTGATTACCACCAGTGTTTTGAACTGCTCATCTGATAGGTTGACTGTCTCTTCATCACTTAGCTGTATTTTTTATGGAGCTTTGATCTGTTCTTTCATTTGGGCCTTTTTTTTTTTTTTGTCTTGACCTGCCTGTTATGTATGAGGTGTGGAGCCTTAGGTGTTCACCAGGGCGAAGCAACCCAAGTCACTCTGTTGTGATGCTGTATGTTGGGAAGTGGTCTGAGAGGGAACAAGGGCTCTTGCTTTTCTCTCTGCTGATTAAGTCACTTCCCCCGTTTCCCGCAAGCAAAGTGGCCCTTCTGGTGCTGAATCTTGGGTGGGTGGCTTTGTGTACTTTCTAGGACCCTTTGGGCCTCTCCAACAAACTTTCCTATGAGGGTAGGAGTTCTCCCATCGCCACTTCAACCCTCAGTGATGTTTTCAGTCAGAGGTTAGAGGCTTTATTTCCCCATTCTGGGGCCCTGGGTCACACAGTCCTTCCGGCTTCTCAGTTGTTTATCCCAGTTTATCTGCAGGCAAATGTGGGACCACCTGCTTCACCAGCTGTTGTCTTGCCCTCCAGATGCAGCCTTGTGCTCCACAGTCCGCTGTGTCTCTGGGTCCTCCAGCCACCACCTTGCCCACCTTGGTCCTTCCGCCACCACCTTTCCACAAGTCCTCTATACTGGACTGCCCCTCTCTGCCCTTCCTATTGAATTGGACGAATGTTTTTCTTTAATTCCTTGGTTGTCAGACTTCCATACAGTTTGATTTTTGGTCAGTTCTGGGTTTTTTTGTTTGTTTGTTTTGTTTTTAAATTGTTGTCCTTGTTTGGGTTGTGTGAAAAGGCACTGTGCGTCTACCTACATCTCTGTCTTAGCTGGAAGTCCTATTTTTTATTTATTTTTTAGAGAGAGGGAGAAAAATATCTACCATTTGCCTTTTGTAGGTACCCTGAACAGGTACCAAACCTGTAACTCAGGCATGTGCCCTGACTGAGAATCAAACCAGCAACCTTCTGCTTTGCAGGACAACACCCAGCCAACTAAGCCACATAGTTAGGGAGTATATATACCATGTTTAGTGAAGGGTTTAAGTCTCTTGCACATTTTTAAGCTAGGTTGTTTTCTTCTTGTTGTGTTTTGAAAGTTCTTTATATATTCTGGATATAAATTCTTTCTTAAATATGTGATTTAAAAAATCTTTGCTCCACATCTACAATTTGTCTTTCTATTCTTTTAATAGTATTTTTTTCAAAATTTTGAGGAAGTATAATTTTTAAAAAATTGGTTGTTTTGACACCATGGAAGAGAACTCTTTACCTAACTTCAAATCACAATGATTTTTTCCCCTTCTGAGACTTACAAAGTTTTGTGTTTTACATTTAGATCTACAATCCATTTTGAGTTAATTTTTACATAAGTTTGAGGTTTAGGCTAAGTTTTTGGTGGAGATTTTTATTTATTTATTTATTTATTTATTTATTTATTTTTACATATGGGTGACCAATTTTTCCAATACAACTTGCTTAAAAGACCGTTTTTCTTCATTAATTTGCTTTTGCACCTTTGTTGAAAATCAAATGACCATATCTGTAAGTCTTTTTTGTTCCATTATCCTTTCTGTATGTTGTTTTTTTCAGTGTTATTTCTATTCATAATATCTTTGCTATACTATTAGAATCTGTCCTGTGTCTGCATTATCTCAATAGCCAGTCTGGGACTAGGGTGGTATCTACTCATAGCTCAATTCTCAAACTTTGTGATATGATCTTTATGGTCAGATTTTTGTAGCTTGGAAAAGAAGTATTCTCCTGGGGATTTTTCTCTTTCTGCCATGTCCCTGGTATTTTCTAGTTTCCTGTGGTTCCCTGTTTGTGGTCCTCCATGTGGAAAGCTGGGATATTAGTTATTCCACTCAGTGCCCATGTCCAGGAAAAGAGGTGTGAGGACAGAGAGAGAAAAATGCTTTGGAAGTTTTTTCTCCATCTAGTGATCATTAGAAAGGAAGTCTTCCTGCCCTGGCTGGTGTAGCTCAGTAGACTGAGAGCAGGCCTGCGAACCAGAGGATCGACTGATTCTCAGTCAGGGCACATGCCTGGGTTGCAGGCTAGTTCCCAGTAGGGAACCCACAAGAGGCAATCATACATTGATATTTCTCTTCCTCTCTCCTTCTCTTCCCCTCTAAAGATAAATAAATAAAATCTTAAAAAAAACAAACAGAAATCTTCCCACCTCGGAGTTTTAGATACCTGCAAACTCATACTGGTGCAGCAAAGGCTGTGATTGCCTAGGGGCTAGGGCTTAAGAAAATGGAGGGAAAAAAGAAATGCAAGGGATCTCCTGGAAAGCTCTGATGATTAGGAGTCTCCTTTTCAGTTACTTCAACCAGGAGAGCTCTTTCTGTCCATGACTGGGGACCCTCTTCTAGGTTTCAGATTATCTGGAGTCCAGGTATGGAAGATATGGGAAAGGACAAAAACAGGAAATTCACTTCCAGTTCATTGGTAGTACAAATTCTGTTTTTTTTTTCCCAATTCATCTGCCCCACATTTACTCTTCAGAGTCCTCAAATAACTGTTCCATGCGGATTCATAGCTGCATTCAGAGAAAGAGGATAAATGTGCTTTCTCCATCTTATGGAGGATCAGAATTTTTAAACACAAGGCAGTGTTATACTGTTTTAATATATACTGAATTTTTAGGAATGTAATTAATTACACATTAATTAATTAACCAGGACATAGTATATTTTATTTTATTTAGAACTATATAAAATGTATTCATCATCTTCAGAAGTCACCAAAGGCAACATTTCCCATGGCATTAGGTTGTGCTTTTGGCCAGCACAGCACACCCATTTGAGCCTGCATTTGTAGTTTTGTATTCTCCAATGATTCTATAGACATACACACTCTTTTTCCTGCTTACTTCTTTGTGCTTTACCTGAGGCATTAAAATATTGCAATACTCCCTGACTGATGTGGCTCAGTTGGTTGGGTGTCACCCTGCAAAGCAAAACATTCACCAGCTTGATTCCTGGTAAGGACATATGCCTGGGTTGTAGGTTTTATCCTGGTTGGGCCTGTACCCTGGTTGGGGTCCATACATGAGGCAGCCAATAGATGTTTCTCCCTCACAACGATGTTTCTCTTCCTCTTTTTCTCCCTCCCTTTCCCTCTCTCTGAAAATAAATGAATAAAATATCTTTAAAAATAAAATAAAATATTGCAATATGTATTATTTTATTATAAATTACTTAACTTTTATTTTTCTTTATAGTACTGACAGGAAATCATAGTGATTTTTTTTTTAGTGATGTGCTTTGCTAGGTTAAGGAGATCTTTAAATCTTTTGACAATCCTCTTGTCTGAAAGTGAGTGCTTTTGGGGATGGCCAGGCATCTCTCTCTTTATGTAATTTCAGGAACTGCACTTGTTGTTTCAAGCATGTTGGTTAGAGGGTGGTTGGACTTCTTACATGGCAGCTCAGGGCTCCGTGAATGATGTAAGAGCTCCAGAACTCTTATTTGTATAAGATCTTCAGAATTCTCATAGTTGCAAAAATTTCTATAACCTAGCATTGGAAGTTCCCAAAAGCCACATCCTATTGATCAAGCAAGTCACTAAGCACAAGCCTGGATTCAGGGGAAGCCAAGGCAGGAACAGCCCAGAAAAAACTGGTATCAGGAATGGCTCCCCAGACTCCAATCAATCAATAAACTGCTCAGCATTAAATTAGTCTTGATAATTTATAAAACAAGTAGAGAGGAAAGTCCTTTTCATTGGGTGAATTTGCATGTAGTTTTCATGGTGTATTTCCTGTCCTTGAGCAGAGGTACCAAGGATGTTCTTTGAATGTCTATATGCACAAAACAGTATCTATCTACTCAAAATCACAATGCTAAATATGTGGGTGATATAGTTTATACATCTCTGCCCTTTAAGGCTACAGTGTTGTTGTAAAAAACATGTATACAGATATTAATAAATTAGTATGCAAACATTGCCAATAACAGGATCGTTGAAGATCTTCAGGAATTCAGAAGACAGAAGTATCTATTTTCATCTCTAACTATCTATCTGGTATTCCAATCCTGACTTCCCAAAGGAATCACCTAGAGAATTTTTTAAACATAATTATCTCCTCAGATTATGATTTAATTGAGGGTTAGAGCCCAGGCATCAGTATTTACAAAGAGCTCACCACATGATTCTAATGGAAAGCCTCAGCCGTGGCCAATACCTGGCCTCTCCCAACTTTCCTCATGATCAGATTCCATGCTGGGTTCCTTTGTGAACAGTACTGCTTTCTCTGGGAGATGGGGATTCAGCTGAGTGGGACCAGGAATTTGTATTTCCAACAAGGGCCTACGGGATTCTTGTCATCAAGGAAATTTAATTAACACGGCTGTGTTCAAATCCTTTCCCAGTATTTAATGCAAATTTCACTCTGAATCTAAACTCTCTTTCAATCTCAAATAAAGAGGCCACCCCTGCCTC